ACGAGTCTCAAATGGAACGAAATGCCCATCCTGGAGTCTACTGCTAAATTTACCAATAAAAATATTTTATATCTTTAAGAAAACAACGACGTTTTAAAACTGTCCCAATCATTTTACTATAAGGTGAAACTAACTGCAATACAAGCAATCCTTTCATTCAAACACTGTCAACATCATTGCATTCTCTACAGTCAATGTAAGTTTGAATTTCACTAATTGATTTTTAAGTAGGAATTTTTTCCTGTCATACAGGATATATATATATATTCACCACAAGCCATATGACATATATTCTTCACATCACAGTTTGAATTCTGCGTTTTCCTGTCTATTTTAAGTACTATTTCAACATGTCTGAGTAAAAACAAGCCTGAAGACGTTATATCTACTATAACTATCCAATATGAACTGATACACAAGCAGAGAAATTCGTTGTATACTAATATACAAATACGATAAGGAATACAGATTTTTTGATGTGGTTGTGTTCTCTGAGCTGGACAGTTAATTCGCGAAGCTTTTATTGCCCTTCTAGACAACATCTTTAGCGCTTACTTCAATTTGAAGTGAACTTTTAGATTTCTCCCACCTAAATAAAAATTGAATAAAGATATCTCATGGATGTCTTCCAAAAGAATGGAAATCCACGGAATTTCATCAAAAGACATATACTCCTAAACCAACCTGCCAAATCAAAGGCCCCCAAGGAAAGCACAAAGGAAATCGCCCTACCATATATAAACGACATCTCAGAAATCACTACAAGACACTTCAAACCTTTGAGAATCGACGTCACACACAAACCAACGAAATCACTTCACTCAGCTGGCTCTATGTTAACCAAAAGACTCAACAACGAAAGAAGACAAAATCAACATCATCTACAAAATAAATTGTAACAACTGCGAATAACACCACACTGGCCAAAGTAGACGTCCCCTTCGTCTTCGTATCCATGAATGTAAGCTAGCCGTCAAAAGACATGACATACACTCCCTCATATCAATTCGACTAGGACAGCGTTCAAATATTATACAGAGGAAACACAGAGAATGCTAGAGAATTTTTAGAAGCCTAGTATTACAGTGACTTGTCAATTAATAGACACATCGACATAGACAAAATTTGCCAACCCATAAGGAGGAAATTTCACATATAAAGGATCAAAGCTAAAGTCAAGGAAGCAATCGACACCGATACCAATACAAATAGCCGCCTAGAGACAGTGAAAACACACAAAAACAACCAATCACGTCCACGGTCAGGTGACCAGGAGAGATGGCTGATAAACTCGTGGAGAAATCGCAAAGCTCACTTCAAACTGAAGTATGCGCTGAGGTGAGGATATTGCCTAGTAGGGTAATGAAAGCTTCGCGAATTAACTATCCAGCCCAGAGAACACAACCACATCAAAATCATCCCTCTGAGCTACAAATCTTCCCTATTATATCTAAAGAACAGAGTCGTTGTCTTGTATCATTTCCAGTACGGAATAAATTTATTTGGTAAGAGAACCTCAGTGATATATTACTACTTACTAGTGACCTTTCGAATATCATTCTCTACTCATAATAATACCAGGCCACTCATAACTTTCCTTTATAATATAATTCCAAACAATTATCATGTTATGACAATAATGACAGTAATATTTTCTATAATCCTGGTATTGGAGTGTTGCGTTATTCCTACTGTACGTGTCTCAAACATAGATTTTTTGAATACAAATTCGGTAATTATTGATTGGACACCACTTAATAACTAGTGTAATGTGTCTAGTCCTTTGTTTGAGGCTGGCTGAATTTTATCAGTTGAATTTGCGATGTGACCACTATGATATGTGTCTCACCATTAAGGTTCACTTGGAACTGTTTCTATTAGATGACTCGTGCTAGTTGACACCTGATTGGCAGAATTCAATATATACCACCACCAAGGACTAGACACACTGCACTGGCTGCCAACTAGTGTCCAGTCAAAGTACCTAATGTATTTCTACAAGTAGGTCAATCGCGAACCCAGATAGATCAGTAATAACGCCTGTCATTACAGCCCTGGGTGACGCGGGTTCCAATTTCAGAAGGGACATTAGTTCCTTCAAGGTTGCAGATACACCCTGATGATGAGTGCCAACTAGTGCGAAAACCAATTTCCGAAAATTCCTGCCGATTGCCTCCAACTATCTAATACATTTAGTTATTGATCATTATTGCATAAAATTCAACAGGAAGTTCAAAAACGATCACTATGAACCTAGGAAATTATTGTTGAAACTATTGACCGTAGTAAAAATAAGGAATTTAAAACATCCAAATTTATGTCATAAAAGGAAGGGACATCTGAAATCCAACATTGGGTTACTAATAATTCAGAAATTAGGATGGTATTTAAATCTGCAAATTCAGTCAAGGATAGCCTCTTTAAGCTGAATGATCCCACTGATGCAATGCGACAAAATAACTTACCCTAAAAAGTGCATTGTATGACTGTGTGTTAAATTAAACAGGTCAGACAAGCAGACTGAGGATAGTCAGATTATCTGAATATGATAATTTAGCTTAGCGTAGAATGTTTGATCCCACGATGAAAAATAATTCAGAGGAAAACTCAGCAGCCATAATGAATGCATTAACCAATAATCACACAGTACGGTGGGACGAACCCTGAATTCAAAAAAGTAGTATAGGTAATTGGAAGGAGAGGTTATTCACTGGAGTTTTGTTCATCGAATCTACACCTGACACCTGCAGTGGCATAACGTTAATATCAGAGATGCCGAAAATATTGCTACCAATAACATCCACGGTTAAAAAATTAATGCAGCTGTATAAACAAAGTCTAAAAATTTTGAGAGTAACTTAATATGATTATAAGGAGCTATAAATTGTGTTCCAAACGACATCAATAAAAATACTGCATCGCCATCTTCCTTTATTTAACCAGTATATTCTGTGATGGCGTGGGTGGCACAGTGGTAGGATACTCGCCTACAACTCATATGTTTCGGGGTTTGATTCTCAGTCAACGCACTCCTTTACCTCGCTAAGCCAGTTATAAGATTGGCAAAGAGAGAAGGTTGGGCATGAGGCTTGCAACACCATCCTGTAAAAATAAAGGCCACTGCTACCGAGACTTCAAGCGTCTAGCTTGAAGCCCTATGTCACGTTGGGAACGTAAAGGAATAAAAAATTATTCTGTGACGGCATTTTAAAATACCAAAATGACCACTTTTATTCCTATATTTTATCTCAAAGTATTCAAAGCCACCTTGTTTTCAAGTTCCAGTCATATAGGCTTTTCAAGTTTGACATCACTCTGAGAATCATTAAAATTCCAGAAGTACTGATTAGTTGTTTCGTCCCTATCCAAACCTCTCCAGTAACACTCACTTATCATCTCAAAGGGTATCAAAACCAACACCTTCTCGTAAGGAGATCATGATCGTGAACCGTTGAGCCATTTGGACAGAATCCAACGGCCTCTCAATTCCAACTTCTGTCAGCTCACGATTTTGGCGTGTCGTCCAGCAAATGTTATTAATGCGTATTTTTGTTTTAACACACTACTTGATGCGTGAAAATCGTGAATCTGCAGAAGTTAGAATTTATGGGACATTGTATTCAGGGCACAGTTAAACTTCAGTCAATGAAGAGAAGATCAGGCACCACTGACCTTGCCACACTCAATCATTAAGTTAAGGAAACTGCGAAAATAACACTATACTCATGAAAAAACATGTTTTCTGAAGTGACATCACATTAAACGGAATATCCGGTAAGTTCTGGGTTACGTTTAAGCAAGACTGGGATTAATTTTAGGCTAGGGACAGGTGAGGATTAAGTCAAACCAATTATGGAGACATTACATATGGTCCAAGGCAGGTTAGGGTTAGGCAAGCGATAGATTAGGACTAGGGTATGGTGAAGTTAGATTACGCTTAGGGTTATGGTTACAGGACCGAATTTATTTCTCACCACTACTGGTCTTTCCAAAGTTATTGAAGAATTCATACCATTTTTTATGCCTGGAGTTTGACTTTGCCGAATTCCACCCCAATGGCTGTGCATAGTATACGAGCTCTGGTCTCTGAACCTGTGGATACAATCTTACTAACTTATAATACCTGTAACTAACTGTTTGGTATATTGTGACTGTTTAACGCTAACTGATATCTGCAATTGTATATACTGTTAGATTTACATACGTACGTTGACCCAAGTCAGTGAGTCTATTGTTCTGATATCATTTTTGTTAACTGTATTTGGCAGTGATACTACTCCTACGGTTTTTTTTAATGTTATTGTCGACGCCCTTCCTGTCGTGAAATTTTTTTCCTTTTGCTGGTGTTGTTCTGATTGTTTTATTCCTTGTTTTCCTATTTCTAAGGGGAGCAACCCACAAAGTCGTCCCTTTGTTAACTATATAATAATGTAACAACTCCCTTCTCAGGCGAAAGGCTGGCGACCTCAACCTGTAAACAAAGCTGCTACAGAAATTTCAGTACGAGTCTCCTTGAGACAGAAGAAAAAGTCCGTGTGGTTGGAAGGGAACCAACCAGGAACCGATTGTGCAACAAATAAGCATGAAGAAATGGAGGTAGATTGGACATACTCTAAGAAAACCATCAAGTCTCACCTCACGAAAGGCCATCGCTTGAGTGAAACCCGAAAGGGAAGCGGCAAGTTGGTCGTTAGTGTGACGGTGAGGTGACACGGAGGAGGTGATTTGAAGAGCAGATGAAAGCATGTGAGCAGACGTGGAGCCAGGTGAGAACGTTGGCAGTGAATCGAATGCAGTGGAGACATGGAGCCGAAGCCTATGTTCCTCCAGGAACTAAAGGAAACAATAATAATAATCTGGTCTCTGATCTTCAATATTTCTCTAATTAATATCAATTCGTTATCATACTTAAAACAAATTGTATACATTTCTTCGGTAAATGACTGAAAGTTAAAACAATAACTAAATAGTAGAACAGAAAAACACCATATTTGACTCACTTGTGTAAAGGCATATCCCAATGGTTCCTTATACGATACAACAGCTTGTGACTTATTCACATCAGTTGGATCAGGGAATATAAAATACGGTGAATTGTCATTCACATCTAAGATGTGTATACGTACTAGTACATTTTCAGATAACTTTGGTATGCCTTTATCTTGTGCCTGTATTGTTAAGACAACATTTGGCGTAAATAAGGAATTATTTGTTGACATTGCATAATGATCCACACTGAGTGTAGTATCCATGTATCCAACTGATTTAGCATTAAGTGGTGTTTCCGGGATAGGGGAAGTTGATTCCTCAATGAGACTCTCACGATTAATCACAGAGTTTGCATACAATTTCATCTCATAATAGGCTTTTCTGCCGGCAGACGATGAAGCGTTTACCCTCTGTGAAACTAACTGAAACTTTGGAATGTATTCAATATACTTTTTTTGATTCAAATCAGGCATAATCGATAATTGCTTAGCATTGAGCTTTCTACTGATAACACTTTTCTTGATCTCTATCTTCAATTCTGAATTTTCACCTATATCATTATCTGTAACATAAAAGCTTCCGATCAATTCTCCTATTAGATTATTTTCTGATAAGTGAAAATCATATGACGGCTTAGAGAAAACTGGAGCGTTATCATTGAAATCTAAAATTGTTACATCGACTAGAGCTGAAGTTGAACGTTTACTCTGCTCACCGTCATCTGAACATAATACAAGGATAGAGAATCTGTCAGATAATTCACGATCCAAGTTGCCTAGAGAATGTATCCTTCCTGTTACCGAGTTGATTGTCACCAAATCAACCTGGGAAATTGGTGTTGTCTGAACAATACTGAAATGTAGTTTTGCATTACGACCTTCATCTTTATCTGTTGCAAGAAGCGATATGATTTCAAAGTTTTCTCGTGCTCTTTCAGGACTTGTATCTTCCAGGATCTTAACTGTGTAGACACTTTGATTAAATATCGGATCGTTATCATTGATATCAATTACTTTGATGCTTTGTGTTGTGTTACTTGATAAGGGTGGATCTCCATTATCCCAACAGTAAACAGTAAATTCGACAGCCGGATATTCTTCCCTATCTATACTTTTCAACAAGGAGAGTTTATATTTCTTATTAGATATTGTTAAATCATTGCTGACAAGTCCAGCATTCATCGGAGTTAGGATTAAAGCATCTGCGAGAGTTTGATTTGTCAGTTTACAGTTCACTTCTGCATTTTTCCCTGTATCACCATCTGAAACATCTAGAATGCCAATATCTTGACCAGGCGGAGATTCTTCTATTATTTCTAGAGATTTTGAACCGGTTGGCGACAAAATTCGAATCCTTGGATGGTGATCATTTGTGTCAATCACATTGACAATAACCTGAGCTGTAGATGACTTGGATTGAGTCTGCAGAGATTTCATATTTCTCGATAGAGTATGATCAGGATTCTTAGCAAATACTTTCAATATATGTTGGGGTTTCAGTCGATGGTTTAAACGTCGTTGAAGCCTAATTTCACCGGTATCCTCATGAATATAGAGAAGGTTGCTGTCATCAGTGTTATCCGTATATGAATCAATGCTGTACAGGACTTTCCCATTTTCCCCGTCGTCTGCATCATTCGCCGTAACCTTTACAATCGTCTGGCCAATGATCGTGTCTTCGCTAACATTCGCAACATACGTGGACTGATCAAACACTGGCGTATGATCATTACAGTCTTCGACGAGTACAGTCACATTTAGGTAACACTGATGTCCACCTGATGGAAAGCCATCATCAGCGACGATTTCAAATGTATAATTTTGCTGACTTTCATAATCCAACGCTCTAATCAGTTCCAGCTCCAGTCTAATATTCGCATTATTCGAAGATGAAAGACTATGTAGCTTGAATGTGGCATTTATATTCCGTTTATCCAACGAAGATAATTTATTCGGCCGATCATGGATCCATACAAGATCAGATTTAACAGTATTTCCTAAAACTGCATCGTCTGGATCATGTGGGGTATTCAGTGGTAGTCGTGTTTCACGAATAGGTGAATCTTCACGTATTCGAATAATCTGTTCACTTGATGGCATAAATTTACATCCGTTATCATTAATATCCCTGAGTTCAACGACAACATCGAAAATAGCTACCAGCTTATTACTTACAGGCGTTTTACTTTTATTTTGATTTCCAAGATTTTTAATCGGTGTTACATTTAAACAATTCACACTAAAATATAATTCACAAGCTGAATACTGATTCACTCGAGAATTCCATCCTTCTTTCAATTCCTTTGAAACTGTTTTCTGACTATTCAGGACCTCAGGACGGCATAGTGTTTCTCTGTCCAACTGCTTTGCAATCAATATATCCCCGTTAATTTGATCTACAGAAAATAGCTCCGAAAAGTCATCAACGCTGGAGATTTTAAAAAAGTTAAGATTTGTGAATCCTCCGTGTACGTGTTTCAGTAAACTGCCAATTTTTGTACCAGTTGGAATTTCTTCATCAGTATGAAAGTGAACAGTCCGTGATTGAGACAAATGAATCCACAGTGCCATTATGATTGTTAAGCTAAATTGTTGATTACATAGAAAATAGCGTGGGGTTTCAATTAATCCAATATTGAGCATAACATTGAAAAATTTTGCGTATACAAACTAAGGATCTAAGGATATACTGCAGGCTTCATTTCTGCGGCTTACAAAACATTTTCTGTCATTCAGAATGTAAGAAGTATCACATTTGTCAATGTTAGAAAAAGTAAAACAAAAAGAAATTAAAAATTTTAAGTTGAATTAAATTAACCAGGAAGGCAAAATCAAGGTTTTGTCTTTTTCAGGCAATATCTAAATCTGATTGGTGAGATTTTCAGCAAATCATATTTGTGGTGGGTGGGAAAAATAAAAAATGCCGAACCCCTATCCAATAAACTATTACCAAAGGGAAATTTGTGGGGCCAACATTTTGCTTAATCAAGAGTACACTTTAAGTGCCTTAATTCTCATCTACGTTGGTCGTACAGCGGCAGAATGCTCGTCAACCGCATTTGTAGTCCAAAGTTCAATCTCCCGCCGATGTACTTTTTAACTGCGCTTAGTTTAATAGCCTGTTGTAAAACTCGTACAGATTAAGGGCTTTGTTTGAGGTTACGAACCCTACCCTATAAAATTTAGAGCTTGGCTACTGATACTTCAAGGCTTCAACCCTAGAATTCTGCTTTTCACTCAGTGAGCAAAGGAATGAAGAAAGATATTTCATTCAGTATAGCAACTAGCGCCTGAATCATAAATTGTTCTTTTATTCGTTATCATGACCAGTACTATCTGCCGACTGTGGTAACGTTCGTTTGACTAAAATTTAATAACATTTATAGACTGAAATGCCCACGGCTCGCTTCAGCTGTTGTGGCAGATTCCTAGCACTTCAATGACTTTTTTTCTCATTTCTTTGACTACCTGGGTAGCCTTCCCACATCCCTATCCCTATTTTCGCCTTCATCGAAGTAGCTTCGCACCATTGGCCTTTCGACCAGGCACATATACCAATTGTCTGAACCTACGGTTCCTCTCGTACTAAACAGGATTACCATAGCAACGGCCAGATTGTAGTTCACTGATTAGTGTACTCAGTAGTAGAGTAAAACTAACCTGTCTCACGATGGTCTAAACCCAGCTTTCTGATAGCAATCACCAGCCTGTGTTACTTCGTTTTCTAAATGTTTTGTTGTGCATTGAAGTTTCTATAGCCATTCGACTGATTTTACGAGATAAGGTTGTTGACCGAAGAACTGCCAAAGAAAACACTATATTTGAATGTGGACTTTGCGGGAGACTTAACTTCAGATATCCTAGAGAGGAGAATCTAGTTCCCTTAAGAAGGCCTGTCCCACAGGAACTCTAAGAATGATATTCTCTAACCACCTATTGCTTCTGAGCAATGCAAAGGGGAGACTTCAGCTTATAACCACTTCAGTGTGCATATATCAGTTCTAGGTCCTTCTATGTCGGTTTTATCAGAAAGCGTTAGAGGAAATTACGCAGCATGGCTACAAAGAGGAAGGCACTGATTCAGTCGGAAGCACCATAATTTAACACTTAGTCACCACCCGTCGCAGCATCTCAACTGACTCCCCATTCAGGATCATTTGCAGAGTAAACAATAATGTACTAAAGGCAGTGTGTTGGCGATCTATTTGTACTGCTAAAGACCTTGCCATATGAATCGAAAAGCCAGAGCTGTGTGTTCAAAAGGAACTAGTCTAACCTCTACATTTACCATGGGTCTAGTTCATTTTAACTCCTTAGCTTTCATTTTCCATTCCCATTATTGTTTTTCCCATTTTTTTATAAAAATGAGAATGAAATTGCCAAAAGGATAGTTGTCTTTGCTGAACTTCTTGTACTTATCTGTCTAGTGTCTTGATTGGTGTCTTTCACTGTTTGAAAAATTATTTCGAATATCAAACAATGATGCCGTATTAATAAATAGAATTTTTCGCTCTTAATCATATTCGTTAGTTATGCGGCTTCATGATTTGCTTCACATATGTATTTTTCTCTCTTCCTCCTTTATTCCCTGTTGCTTGTTGCCACTTCACATAACTCAGGTATAGGCGTTGAGTCATCTGGACGGCACGTTTGTGGTGTTTAATCAATAAAAGAGGTTCAGTGATTTAATTCTCTCTAACTCCACCTAACTATACCACACTTAAATACTTTCACCCTGTCTCAGCCACCCTATTTTGTGATTACAAGCAAGTGAATGCAATGCAATGCAATGGCTAAGCTTTTTTCTAGGTTATTTCAGTTACCCGGGTGAGTCATTCTACGTCTAGCTAGCTAAAATTTTATGCTCCAATAATCTAATTGACTCCAATCTGTTAGTGCGTCTGTGGTACAGCGGTTAGGATGCTAGCCAACCATGCACATGGTCCGGGGTTTGATCCCCTACCGACGCACATCTGATATCAATGGTTGGCCTGCAAAATTTGGGCTATCTATATCACATGCTGAAAATTCCATACTTGTAACAAAAATAAAGTGTGGAATCAAGCTATAATCAAAAATATAAAAAGTAGTTTCAAGTATGTAATTGACCACACTGTTAGCATTACATCGTATTTGGCAAATTATACTAATTTTATTCATTGAATCTGTTGGGTCCTTAAGCCGAAAATGGTTTATCTCTGAGGTAGTAGGTCGGTTGGTTTAAATGCTACTCTAATTCCAGGGTCATCGAGAATCCTACGTAAGGTCTCTGATGCTCCTTTTTTATACGGCACTAATACAGAGGGTTTGAATTCTATTTTAACTACGTCATTTTTATTGCTAATCTATTTTTTCCTATGGATACTGAAACATTTCTGAATAAATTCTGGTGGGTAGTTATTTATTCACTAATAATGTATTCTTTATTTGTTTGATTTTTGTGATTTAAGTCTTCTGGCCTACTAGTTAGGCGCTTGACCCGATTATACAGACAATTAACTAATCCTGTCTTTACACATTCTGGATGGGGTGATTCAAAGTCTAAGTATTTATTCGAGTGTGTATCGGTTTCCAATAAATGTTAGATATCTAACGCAACATCTCTTTTTCGTTTTATTCTAATATCTAGTCTAGCATGGCCAACTCACCCTGTTCATTTCCTAACTCAGAAGTGAATTGGATTCCGTCTAACATATGTATGAAAAACTGAGAGGTATGTTGTGATTTCAATACAGTGAATGTGTCATCGCATATCTGTAGGGACCAACGACAAAAACCTAACCTATGTATTTGAAATATATGAGTGGGACTTGAGCACTATGATGGATTCTGATTTCTTATAAGATTAAGTGCATTCAAAAGTGGTTCATTAAAAATACTTCACTTAACGCGCGTGGATATATTCTTACCGATTTCTGGAATATTGTAGTGGATATTATACAACTCCTCAAATATTACTTTCACTGGCTGCTACACCAGCTTCCAGATTTCCAGATACTTCACCGCCGGTTATCAAGTTTGGATTCCCTTTTTCGCAGGGCTTATCCTCCTCTTTGCAACTAAAGAACGACCTAGCACAAAAGGAAACTATAGAGAAGTTCATTATTTTGTAGCTAATATATATCAGGATCAATTTGCAGGACAACAACTAGATTCTACATAGTCTGTATTTCACGGTTTATTACTTTTGTCTATTCATTGTTTGTTCATAAACAGTAAAATTCCATACCGTGTCTATAGTGCGTCGGTGGCACAGTGGTTAGGACTCTCGCCGACCATGCACATGGTCCGGGGTTCGATCCCCTGCCGGCGCACACCCGATATCTATGGTATGCCTGAATTTGGGCAACCGATATCCATGCTGAAAATTCCATACTTGTACTGAAAATACGGTGTGGAATCAAGCTGTAAATCAAAATAAAAAAAAAAAAAAAAAAATAACCTAGGAGTGGGACTAAATTTGCTAAGATTTGCCGACTGCCAGTAAAGATATAATAATTTTATTCCTGATTATTAATAGCACTAAGAACCCAGTATTCAGTGAAGAATCTCTCCTCAATAGTTTCGTGATCAAGCTGCACAATATTAATGTCAGGAAATAGCTTGTGCATTGTGAAATAGATCAAATAAAGTATAATAAAGTATATTGCACTGGTTTACATACAATGATGTGCATCGGTGGCATAGCGGTTAGGACGCTCGCCGACCTTGCACACTGTCCGGGGTTCGATTCCCCGTCACCGACGCACTCCTTTACCTCGCTAAGCCAGAGCTGAAATTCTGGTGGAGAGGGAAGTTTGGGCATGAGGCTAGCAACCTCATCCTGTAAAATAAGCACTGCTACAGAAACTTCAAGCCACTAGCTTAAAGCCCTATGTTCCACTGGGGAACGTAAAGGAAATAAGAAAAAGAAGAAGACATACAATGATAAGTTTTGTTATTGATAATATTTCGAGCAGAATTACTGCCCATGTTCACACCACTGTTGGAATTGTTTTCTTTTTAATTCACACATTTATGATATGCACTCATATATATAGTTCTTGTTTGTGTATTCACAATTATATTCCAGGTCGCTGACAGTTGTACTGAGTCACCCTTGTTACATGTGTCTGGTATGACCTTGATGAATATAGATTCTAGCCTCAGGTCAAGTTAAAAGGATATATTGAAGGTCAAAATAAAAATGATGATCACTAAGACAAATAACAGGGGTAATAGTACATCTGCTATGGTATCAAAACAAAGTTTACCAAGGAAGGTTTAGTGTGATAACGAATTGTTTTGATCGCATGAAGGTGTAATCTTGCTAATTGCCAGCCAGGGCTTCCACAAACACTTTTCATAGATAGATTTGAAAGATGTGTAAACATCAATCTTATGTCCTTTCTCTATAATATGTTTCGCAATAAACGAGCTAGGTCGTCTTTTCTCACCATTATTGTATTCTGGAGATTCTATTTGCTTCTGGAGCCATTAAGTAACATGCTCTGAAACCAGACCTTACTTGCGGAAATCAATGAGTCCTCTCTATATATGTGCAGCCACACGTACATTCAAACTGGTAAGAACAGTGGGATGTGAAATCATACTTCGCATGTTCTAAGGGTTGAGATGGATGTATTGACTTAATCTTCTCAATTATTATGATCTTAGCTGCATAAAAAGTCTTTTTAACTACAGCAGCGTTGTATCTTTGTCTAGTTATCAAGCTGCTATGATGCCTATATAAGGTAGCTTAATGTACACGTCGTTCTTAG